CACAGATAGAGGCATTGACCATATACAACGGCACCGAGGTTCATGACGACATTGTCGCTGCGCTTGGCTTGGTTCAATTGTCTGAATAAGAGAGTAACTTGTGGTTTGTAAAAATCCAAATATAAAAAACGAACATTCTTTCTTGGAAATTGGGTTTGTGAAATACGAACACTTATTATTGGACAGAGGTAGTAGAATCGATACATCCAAATGTCCTGAAGAATCGGCAGTAGGATTTAGCCAATCAGATTGCAGGAAACCACCATCAATGTCAAATTAGTAGATCTTGGGATGAATTAATGCCTTACTCCACACTCAACATTGAGTCGTAAAATACGGTACACGTTTGCCGCCAAAATGAATCAAAATGCCCGCCAGGTTGGCAAGTCAACCAACTTTTTGCCCACCCCACAATTAAATGTGCATCGCAATGCCCATCAACGCCAACGCCGTCCTTAATCGCCTCCAAGATCATACCATTCGTGATCGGTCGTATCTCGAAGCTTCCTTCATGCGCTTCTACCGGTAGTAGTTTGGCCTCTAAATTCGTTGAGTTTTCATCAAGTATGTTATTGATCAGTGGTGCAGTAAATAATCAGTAACTTGGTCATTTCGGAAACGAACGATATTTGATACGAACACATTGCTCTTGATATTCTGCAAGGTGAATTCGTGAAGTCCCTTGTATTGATTATTTGTATAACTATTTCCGAATTGGCATGATCAAATTGGAAATATGGCAGGTATACAGGAAGCCAGTCATCTACTGGTTTAAAGATCGAGTGTATGATTTCAATTAGGAAGACACCACACGACAACTTTTTACATACAAAACTCAGTACTAAGAATCGATCGATATAGGTATGGCGAAGTCCAAATTTTGGGTAAATAGATAATACGAATGGGTGGTTAGGACGTGGCTATCATACTTTCATTCGGTTAATCGCGTCGTATCCACTATGCCGGCGGCTTTAGTTCGCATTGTAGACCATGGTTGATTCTGTAGCCTGTGCCACCATATTCCGCATAAACAACGTCGTCGCCCCGAAGAGTGCAAACAATACCCCCCACCCCCCCACTATCGTTTCTACACCAGCGCAACGAATAGAGTTGTTAGTCATTTGATGACTCGCCTGGAAATTACGACTTAGGGATACGCCAAGAATAACCCCAACGCTGTCCACAACATCCACGTGCTGTTTTGCATGGGCTTCGATCTCGGGACTCAAGCCTAGCAAAGCCGGCATGGCCTACGCGCGCCCGGGCATCGCCCGCCGGTTCTCCGAGTTCCGACGTTTCTTGGTCCGACCCCGGAGCGGATTCCTGCCTCGAGTACACGACATTGCAGTATAGTACAGTACAGCGTGGAACACACCGCTGCGCTAGTGTGCTGGGAGGAATTAGGGATGGCGCTTCGCGTATGAAATATCACTGACCTCGAAAGAAATGAAATGGATACTCAACGACGTGCCCCACGAAGGGCCTGCCTGACACCTCGGAACCCCGGCGCTCTGAAACCTACAGTACATAAGTTACATAACTTACGTCGATCATTTTCAGGGGTTTGGCGTTGCAAAACGACTTCGCGTAGCAATTTGATCCCGTTACTGTAGTGTTGCACTACATAAGAAAATCCCGTTACCGTTGCGAGCACATTCTCCAGACACGGCCATAAATTCAAACCGCCTCAAGTAACCCTACACCCACAGTTCTTGGCAAAATAGTAATCAAATAAAAATTGTGTTCCTGTACCCGCAGCTTTCGGTAAAATATTGATCGCCCAACGCATTCGTGTTGCAATCAAATTAGTCGAGTGTACCTGCGGCAATGTCGTTGAAAAGTGCGGTATAAGAAGTAGAGGTATAGTAGATTGTACTGTCTGCACAATAAGTATAGACGCACTCCAGAATTTTGGGTTCACAAAAGATCTGCCGATGATGCAGCCACGCTAGTTGTACGTGCATAAATGTACTAAACCAAAACGGCATTCCCCAAAAGGAACAATGGCAGCTCATTGCCGTTCACAAGAAAAACCAAAATTTCGAAAATTTGGTACTGTAGCTTCCAGCCCGAAGCGTATGACAGCGACGGGGTTGAAGCCGCTCAGCTTCCGATGGATCCTCATGGGCTGCATCGGTGCGCTGGTCTTGTTTCAGTCTGTCGACGTGTTCCTGACGTACAGAGCGACCTCGTTGTTTCGCGCTCGAAGCTCCGACATGCCATCCGGCCTTTGGTGCACAAAAAGTATAGACGCACTTTGAATTCGAAGCTTCTATTGGACATTTTTTGCACTTTTTAGCCAATTATTAGCCTCCAAATTGGTACACATGTTTTACAATCATGACGAGCTACCACCAGCAATCTCAAAACGGGAAAAGCGACCCCCAGGGATGCCAAGGGGGCCAAACATCACCGAGCAAGGGAAGGGCCAGATAATGGCTTTGCTTCAGCTCAAAAAGAGCTCCCCTAGACGGCCCCGACGGTTGCCAGTACTACTGGCACGACTTGCGCCAGGATGTGGAGACGTACTCGAAACGTGTCGCTGGAGGTGGCTCGGTTATGGTGTGAGGTGGCATGAGTTTCTACAACAAGACATCGTCAGCCTTCCTGGAGGGTCGCCAAAACTCCTGTAAGTGTGTCGCTATGGCGAGTTCGAGCCGCTGATGGCCGCGGCTGTGCCCGCCACCGCCAAGCCCGACAAGTTGCCCGCGGCGACCAAGACCCCCATGGCTGGGAAGGCCCCCAAGGTCGTGGCCGTCGTGAACGTCGACAAGATCCCGAAGTCGAACTTCACCCAAGAGAAGCGTGCGTGTTTCAAGTGCCTGAGCACCGAGCACAATGTGTTCAAGTGCCCTAAGGTCGCTGACGGCGAAGCCAAGCTCCTGATGGAACGTGCCCGTTCCATCTGGAAAGAAACCAAGTCGGTAACCGTCGTCGAGACGGTCGATGTTGCCGAGGTGTCCCTCGACAATGCCGTGATGTGCGCTGCCCGGTTTGTGTGTGTGGCTGGTCAGGCCGTCTCGCTGAACGCGTCCTTCGACAGCGGCGCCGATCAAAGTGTGGTGCCCCCCGCGACGCTGGCTAAACTCAAAAAGCAAGGCCGCAACGACCCCCATTAAGGTAAAGGGTTTTGTTGGCCCTGCCCACACCGTCACTGAGGAAGCCAGGATGGACCTGCGGATCGAGACGGACGCCGGCCCGCTGATGCTCATGAATGTCAAGTGCTGGTTTTCGACGGGCAACCTGCCTGCCAACGTCGGCGACATCGTGTTGAGTCGCGCCATCATGTATAACTTGGGGTTCGACCCACGCGCCATGCTGCGTGAGGCCGCGTCCTTCACCGATGCGATCAACATGACCGACGCGGTCACGCACAGCAGGGTCGTACAGGCCGTGCTGGCCGTGTCGCACGAGCTCGAGGATGACCTGGCCGAGGAAGAGGAGGAGCCGTTGCCCCTGGAGATGGACTCATGTTTCCCCGACATGGTTGCCGTCGATGCTGCCGCCGAGACCGCCAAAGTCAAGGTGGTGTTGGATGCGAAGGTGGTTGAGGCCGTGACCGCCGGCTGCGGAAGTGAGTTTGCCGCCAACTTGGCAGCGCTCCTGGAGAAGTACGTTGACGTATTCCGTTTGAGTCTGGGCCGCGACCCACCCGTCAAGATACCGCCGTTGAAGGTGCACTTGGCCAGGGGGGCGCAGCCGATAAGATGCAAGGCCCGCCGGTACTCCCTGTCACAACGAGAATTCATGCAACAGCATGTGAAGGAGTTGGAGGCAGCCGGTTTTGTCTATCGGAACCCCGCCAGCCGGTGGGCCTCGGCCCCCCTGATCGTACGTAAGCCCCACACCATGGATGAGTTCCGAATGACGGTGGACCTGCGACCAATCAACAGCCAGACTAAGCAGATCGCCTGGTCGATGCCCATGTTGGAGGTGGTGGTGGATCATTTGAGTGGCGCTGTGTGTTTTTCCTCCTTGATTTCTTCAAGGGGTACTGACAGTTCGCCCTGGAGATGTCCCAACCCCAAATTTGGTTCCATCTGATGTTCCATTATCGAGTTGGGGCATATTTGGGGATGCAGTGGAGTTGTTCTTAGTCCCAGAACCCTTGCTAATAAAAACGATCTTTACTGCCGTCAAGGATTAATTGAGCTGTAGCCGATACTACTGTAGTAATCAGCAGGATAATCTGAAAACTGCTCGTGTTACAAACAACACAACCTCTATGATGTACTACTACGTAGTAGTACTAGTATTATACTACTGCGTACTATTAATAGTACAGTAGTAGTCACATTCAGTGTAAACCAAAACAACACATTCCAGCTAGGGGATATGTGAATTTCAGTGGTTAGCAATACAAGGGGTCCGGAGGCTCCGAGATTTAAGGCCTACAAGTACTGGTTCGTTTGAAGGAATTATATGATTACGTGAGCAGCATTGGAACAGTTACCGTCAGGGAATTATTCTGACCAATTCCCCGAGTGAGTGGTGACACACCCACTCAATGGTCAAATGCCCACTCACTCAGGGAATTTGGTACTATTGACCTAAAACGTCCCTGAGTAAGTGGGTGGGACTTATTGCTTGCTACGATTAGTACAACCCTAACGTTAAACAGCGTTACGAAGGCATACATACAGTACTGTACAACTTTGATGTATCCCAGGTAAATATAAATAAATACTTCGTACTAACTACTTCGAAGTACTAACGTTAGTACATGTAGCACCATACCGGTAGTAAGTACTAGTACTGTAGTACGTTATTGTGGCTAGATCCAAGCCGATAGTATTGCAGCTGCACTCTTGTTCTGTAGCTAGCTGCGTAGCTACAGCTAGTGTAGTCACATCTCATTAGCTAAACCTTACATAAGGGCACAGCGTAGCCCCAATAAGTATGCAGCCACTCCCCTGTACTTGTTGCATTCATCTCATCAACATAGCTATATTCCACGACCAGCCTTTTGTATGGACAGAATATTCCGCGACCATTCCGCGACCGGGCATCCCCAATGTTACGTTAAGTAGTGACAGTTTCACAGCCATGAAAATGTGAATTACAGCACTTGGATGGATCCCATTTATTAACGCGCAACGCTACGAAACTAAAGCCTTGGCACAATGTATTGTCCACTCGTTACCTTATTAAATTTATTTATTGCAGTGATTTCCTGACTGTGAGTGCTCAGCTCTGCGGCAATACTAGTACAGTAGTTCATGGAACGAGTTGCTCCAATAAAAACATGGCTTGCATTATTTGAGGGTTAGATTGTCGTAGCATTTGTAGTTTTGATCATGGCCACTTGAGATTATTTCCCGAAAATTATGCTTCATTTGATTTTTAAAACGTTTGTAGTTGAAAATTTATAGTTTGAAGCCTTGATGGCCTCCCGTTCCACCGACAGTAAGGTGTATGTGTTTACTAGCGATATACGATAGTCATAATTGAGCACTTTACGAAATTCTAAACGAAAATTATCGCTCAATAAGTGAAAAAACTGCAGTACATGTAGGGATAAGTGAAGGGAGCTGGTACACGGTGGTAATATGGTACTACTCTGGTCCGTATTGATTGTCTACCAAAAATAAACTTGTTTTCGCTATGGTGTCATGACAACTGTTGTCTTGATTTTTGTATTCGACTCTAGAAGTTGATATTGGACGGCCAAAATATTTTGTATTTTAATTGTCTTTACAGAGGTACTTGTTCCGTTGAATTACACTCCTCCTCCATGCGGGCTTCCTCGCCAAGGCGAAGATCCATGTGAACCAAAGCACTGGTGACGCAGGTAGCATTGCATTC